GAGGCAGAGTTCATCTTCCTAAATACCTGTCCATGTCCCCCCACCTCCATACCATCATCTGGGTCACAGCCACAATCACATTGTAGACATAGCTGTTGATTTTTCCTCCTTAAATCCCCTTAGCTCCCTTCTGTTTATTCTTGACAGGCAGTGGAGTTAGATTTTTAAAACATATATTTCATCACGTTGACCCTCTGCTTAAACCCCTCAATGGCTCACCATTGCTTTTTAGAGAAGTCTAAAACCTTTATTTTGACCCATTGGACCCCCATTCCTGGCCCCAGGTTACCCCTGCAGCTGCATTTTCCTCCTCTCTTATCCTCTGTGCTCCATGCTACCACTTATTCGGTTCCTTGGAGACAGGGTCCCCAGTTCAGAGCTTGCATGCATGTTTCTAATGCTGGGACCCTCTTCTTCCCACTGCACCTTCCCAACTTTATCTTGCTGACACCTACTCGTGCTTCAGCCCTCACAGTGGCTGGAGCTGTCTGGGACTGCCTTTGCTGATTCTGTTAAGTTTCAGCCTCTCAGCATATGCCCACAGCACCCAGTACTTTTTCCTTACTGCACCATTGCTGTTTGGTGTCCCTCTCGCCTGCTAAATTGTAAGCTCCTGGAGTGGTGTGGGGGAGAGTGAGGGGGCAAATCCTGTGCCTTCTGTATTCCAGAGATTTCCCGGAGCTCACTATATTGTAGGGACTCACTACTTATTTGTTGACTAGAAAAATAAGTGAAAATATGAGACATGAGGTCACTGTGCCAGGGAGAACTCTCATATGAACTTGGAAGGTTTATAGCTTTTATATATTATACACACACACACACACACACACACACACACACACACACGCACACACACACACACACACACACTATATATACATATATATATATATACTTCCCTTTTATTAAGTATATAAATTTATATTTATATACTTAAATATAAATATATATATTTACTCCCATTATCTGCCACTCAAGCCATATATATATATATATATATATATATATATATATGTATTAGCTAAATATGTATTTTCTACTCCATTATCCCCTTCTCCCTTTTGGTACATCTGTGCATTTTGCAATATTCCTGAAGGAAAGGGCTGCTAAGAGCAAAGAGTTGAGAGAAGCAGGGCAGGTCTCTTTCTGGTTTGTGAACTGTGAAAGCGGAATGTAGTATAACAAAGGATACATCCAGTCTTCATCCCCAGTTCTTGGTGCAGATCTTCAAAAACCTTGGCATTTCCTGGTGATAGGAGTGTCTGTTGTCCAATATTTATATAATTTTTGTCAAAACACAGAAAAATGGAACCATGCCCATGTAGATTATTCTGCAATTTGAACTTTTGTGGCACGCAGGATAATAGGCCTCCAAAGATGTCCATGTGCGAATCCCTGGAATTTGTGACTATGTTATCTCATATGACTAAAACAACTTTCCAGATGTGATTAAGTTAAGAGGCTTGAAATGGGGAGGGTATCCTGGATCATCTGTATGGCCTCCATGTAATCACAGGGTTCTTATAAGAGGCAGGCAGAAAGGTCAGCATCAAGAAGCAGATGTGCCAGTGGGAGCAGAGGGCAGAGTCAGAGACAGATTGGAAGATGCTGACTCCTGGCTTTGAAGAAGGAGAAAGCAATCATGAACCAAGGCATGCGGGCAGCCTCTAGAAGCTGGGAAGGCAAGGAAAAAGTATTCTCCCTGAGAGCCTCCAGAAGGAATACCATCCTGCTGACATCTTGATTTTAGCCCAGAGAAACCCATTTAATTTTTGACCTCCAGAACTGCAAAATAATACATTTGTCAGTTTTTTAAATCCACTAAATTTGTGGTAATTTATTATAGCAGCCACAGGAAACTAAAACATACTTGTACTTAAAATAAGTAATAAACAGTTTCAAGAACCATAAATACATTCTTCTTTTAGCCTCATTTTAATGAGTCTAATCGTTTTCCACAATGGAGCTATCCCATAATTTATCTACTGTTTTCCTTCGTTGAGTGCTGTTGAGATACTTCGATTCTTGTCTTCTTAGTTTAAAAGAATTTAAGTAAGAGCCATACAGCAAAGGAGATGCAGCATACAGTAATTTATTGCAAAAGGAAAATAATGTTTTGAAATTCAGGTGAGAATACACAGTACACCGTGAGAGAGAGAATCAGGGCAGGCTGCTCATAAGGATGAGACAGCAAAGACTGGCACTAGGGAAACTCCATTTAGGGGAATCTTACACACTTCTTTATTAGTAGGTGAGAAGAGGTGTTACTATAAACATGTTCTGGGTGGTCCTCTGGGTGCACATGCGCAGTAGCTGTACATTCTTGTGTGTATATGGCATGTCTCATTAGCATCTTAAATCTCCACCCAGGGGTGTGTTTTTTATTATTATAATGAGCAAAAGATCAGTTTGAGGAAAGGTAAAATCAAAGTGTACATGCTCTCTAGACGAGAAAGTCCCTACTGAAGATAGCTTTGCATGCGTGAGCTCAATTGCAATGCGATTGTGTTGACTGTCCGGGCATCATGGTTGCTGCATCCTGAGAACCTTCCTTGACTGCCTATTCTGCTTCACTTTGGGTTGCTTCCAGATTTTTTTTTCTTCCTGCCATATAAACAATACTGTGATTAATACCCTTGATATATGTCCTTTTGCATTTTTCTGGTATTTCCCTAGGATCAATTTCTAGAAGTGCAGTTCTAGGGAATGCAAATTTTAAAGGTTTGTGACTTACGTTGACATTTGCTTTTGAGATATAGAGATTATCTGTGTAAATGTGTTGACTTCATCAGCCCTTCTCCATGAAACATAATGAAACTAGGTCTACTAAAAGAGAACATTCTTTCACATTTGAATCCAGTCAATTATTCTTCCTGCTGTTCTCTGTCTACAAAGATAAGAAAGATTTAAAATTGTGCAGGGAGGGGGCCTACTTTATAGATGCCAATGGGCAGGTTCTTTTCTGGGGAATTCCTCCTGAGCAACAGAAACTGACATCTTGAAATGAAGCTGGTGTCAAAGAAGTTGAACCCATGCATCAATTGCACTTGGATATACCAACTTATTCTACAACATGTTTAAATCCTCTAGATTTGTGGCAATTTATTATAGCAGCTACAGGAAATGTGTGGATGTGAATTTGCCCATTTGTGACTGGGCACATGTTTTGGGATGCTATGGATGCTCTGTGGGCACACTGCCATGATCACCAGTGCTGCCGCTGGGAATATTCTGTGCGAATTTCCAAGAGCATTTGTTATACATATTAATTACATCTCGGCACTCTATTATTTGAAAATAAAGACACTGTTAGAGTCAATCAGGGCCTAAAGGATTCATATGGCATGGATATTGCACTGGGAAAAGTAATAAGTCCAGAATTTTAACAATTTGGGGTTTCAATCTGGAAAGCAATGCAGTCTTTATTTGGCTATAGATACCTTTTTTTCTTCTAAAATATTATGGCTAATTCAGAAGTGAACAGAATGCATGCATAAAAGTGGGCAAGAGATAAGAGGGGAAAGACAAACTCCAGAGCATGGGGGAATGTGTGAAGAGGGTAACTTGATAAATCCTAAATATGCTAAAATAGGTTACAGTTCCTCAGGTAATCTGTATTGCCCATCATGCCTATTACCTGGTTCTGTAAACAACTTCTACTATAATTATCACTGATATATGTGAGTGACACTATCTGATGTGTGTATTTAGGTAAATAGCCACAGATACACCTTCAAAAGACTGTTGACCACGTACCAAAGGAAGTCTAGATCTTCAAAAGGCCAAACATATGGGAGAAAATAAAAATAAATCTGGATATCTATTTTCACAGTATAAAATGTAAGGTAACTCTAAAATATCTGAGTGTTTGAGTTTTTCAATTTTCTTCCAAATATCTTGGTTATTTGAACCAAGTCTAGAAAATATCCTCTTTCCCTAGTCTTCCCCCTTTAGACATGGCAAGACTGGAGGAAGAAAAATTATAATACACATGTGTGGAGGAGCAGCTGTATTAGCCTCCTAGGACTGCAGAACAAATACCACGCACTTGGTAGATTACAGCGGAAGTTTGTTGCCTCACAGTTCTGGAGGCCGGAAGTTAAAAATCAAGGTGTCAGCAGGGCCAGGCCCACTGAAGGCTCCAGGGAGATTCCTTTCTTGCCTCCTCCAGCTTCTGGTGGCTCCAGGTGTTCCTTGGCTTGTGGCTGCCTCATTCCAATCTCTGCCTCTGTCTTCACATAGCCTTCTCTTCCTCTCTTGGTCTTCTCTTCTGTCTCCTCGAAGGACACTCTTGTTGGGTTAATGGCCCATCAGGGAGAACCAGGATGATCTCATCCAGAGATCCTTAATGTAATTACATCCACAATGACCCTTCTTCCAAATAAGGTCACATTCACTAGTTCTGAGGATTAAGACAGGAACTTATCTTTTGGGGGGACTACCATTCAATCCACCACCCTTCCCCTAACTCCCGCCTGCCATCACTGCTCCACTAAAGGCTGATGCGGCTACAGCAGGCTAAAGCTGCTTGGTTCACTGCCAGAGAGACCGAATATATGAATGGATAAGGCCAGGCCAGATGTGAAAATGAAGCTCTAGCCCACAGTCTGGAGAGACCTGCTGTATTAGTCTGTTTTCATGCTACTGATAATGACATACCTGAGACTGAGCAATTTACAAAAGAAAGAGGTTTAATTGGACTTACAATCCCACGTGGCTGGGGAGGCCTCACAATCATAGAGGGAGGCAAGGAGGAGCAAGTCACATCTTACGTGGATGGCTGTAGGCAAAGAGAGAGAACTTGTGCAGGGGAATTCTTCTTTTTCAAACCATCAGATCTTGTGAGACTTACTCATTATCATAAGAACAGCACGGGAAAGACCCCATGATTCAGTTACCTCCCACTGGGGTCCCTCCCACAACACATGGGAATTCAAGGTGAGATTTGGGCAGGACATAGCCAAGTCATATCACCTGCCCAGGAGACCAACTCATTATCTACAGCAGGGATCCCCAACCCCTGGGCTGCAGACCAGCACCAGTCTGTGGCCTCTTAGGAACTGGGCTGCACAGCAGGAGGTGAGTGGTGGGCAAGCGAGCATTACTGCGTGAGCTCTGCCTCTCGTCAGATCATCAGTGGTATTAGATTCTCACAGAGTGTGAACACTGCTGTGAACTGCACATGCAGGGGATATAGGTTGCACTCTTCTTATGAGGATCTAATGCCTGATGATCTGAAGTGGCACAGTTTCATCCCCTCGCAAGCTGTTCCCAATCCCCTCACCCTGGTTTTGTGGAAAAATTGTCTTTCATAAAACGGGTCCCTGGTGTCAGAAAGGCTGGGGACTACTGATCTAAAGCAACCAGCCCAGGAGGTCAGTCCACTGTCTCTAGCCACCAAACAAGCCAAACAATAGCACCTGTAGCAACCAGCCCAAGTGGCCAGGACTTGATTCATCACTGACAACTTTTCTAATTTTTTCCCCTACTTCAACCTAGGACCTGCCAGAGAAAGCCAAATATGCTCCCCTAACCAGTCACATGGGATTCCTGGCTTCCAGGGACCCCCACCTGCAGCTTCCCCAGGCCAACAGTCTCCACTCAGGGCACACCTGCAGCCTCCCCTTTGCCACCGTGAAGCTTCTCTGATCTCCTGCCTCCCTTCAATCTCTTCCAAACACAAATGGCAGTGACTGCCTCCCTTGACGTCACAAGTAAAGAGTGAACAGCCCATGCCTGCTCTCTGCGGCCGGTCTTTGTTTATTTCAGCCTTTGCTATTCTGACTGCATCAGGCCAACATCCTCAGCTGGGGTTCTCCTTAAACATCCCTTTTCTTCACCTGCAATGTCTCTCTGCTGCCACACAGGAGCCAAATTCAAACTATCCATGCAGGTAGCACTGGTGGCAGTGGAGGGGAGACAAGAGGATGTAATGAGCCGAGTGCCCAGAGCTAGCAGGGTGTGGATAGCAACAGAACCACGGCCAGGTGTTAGAATGCCCCTCAGAAAATGGTTCAAACCCCACTCTCGAATCTGCACTATTGAAAGCTCCTCATGGGTGCAACCCAGGCATTTTATAAATTGTGTTATTTTCTAGATTCCTTCTTTTAATTCTCTGGCCTTTTTTTGGTCAATGAATGGGGTTGCCTTTGGGATATGGCAGTGTTTATTTTCTATTTCTCTGTAATTATGGAATATTGACAGGGAGGTACATTTAGTGGTAACAGATTTTTTAAGGCATATGGATGTATGAAGCTGATTATGAAAAAAGAAGCAAGGAGAGGCCAGAAGGGTTAACTCCAAAGGGCAAATCTGGAACGCAGGAGAGGAGAGCAAGAAATCGTACCAGAAGCTGGAGGAGGCCATGTGGTTTGATATAAATAGCGCAGGGCTGAGGTCAGATGACACAGTGATGTCAAACAGAGGCCCGGTTTGTAGGCCCTCCTCATTCCCATCTGCTCCACAATTCATGCTCTGGGACCAGTCTGACATTTGCCCAATGAGAAAATAATTACGGGCCTCTGTTTTTTCATGTGAAAGGACCCAGTTCTCATTAAAAACATTTTATAGTCCGTGGGGCCAATGGGCTCTCACAGCCATGAGGATGGATTGGAACAGTGGTTTCCAAGCAGAGCTCCCCTGGGAGCCCTAGGTTTTTCAGCAAGTGCGGACAGCGTACGGGGCCCTGGGCAGCCCTTGAGATCTGTTCCTCATGTCAAGGTAAGTAACGCCACATTTATCAGCTTTTCATGTTGGGCTTCTATCTACGTTTCACCTTGAAGAAATTTTTTTTAGCTCAGCATGTTGAAAATATGGAAGCAGAGTGTGCTGGGAGGTATGATATGAGCCAGCAGACTTGCTTTCCTGTCTTAGGCTGCCTTGCCAAGCTACATGTCAAATACGCATGTTTCAGGAAATACGCAACAATGGTACTGCTGGCTCACCTAGCTCCAGGGCGTTTGAAACCCCCACTTATCAGGCTGTAAGCACTGGCTAGTTACAAACTGTGTGAAAATCAGCACAGACTTGACTTAACTGATTTCATGGCACCCCTGGAGAGAAGGCATAATTAATTCTGATCACACAGAGGAAAAGCTGGAAATGCAAACTATTTAAAGACGAACTCACATGATACTGGAAGGGTCATCAGGACAGCCAGGACCAGAACTGGAGCCTGCCACATCCACGCCCAGCGTCCCAGCCACCCATGATCTTTTTTTGCACAGTGGACTTTGGACTTGTCTGCTGCCTGTGAGCAGGGAGTAGCCACTGATTGCTAATTCTTGCTGCCAACAGAACTTACACTCGACTTCTCTATAGTGATGATAGGATTTCAGCATTGAAATTCCTGCTTGGGAAGCAAGTGAAATAAAACACAAACAAGGTCTTGCTCCCTACTTTAGTGCCCTCTGTGCAAGCTGGGCCTGCAGCACATACACTCACCATGCAGCTTGAAGGACCAGGACCTCGCCTAGGGTTACTGTGGCCATTGGGTTATAACTCACAAGGGCTCCTGAAAGATTCTAGCTATCATCCAATTAGAACACGATAGGGGGATATAGAAGGCAGGGGTTGCTCTCCTGCTGCTATAACAAATTGCCACAAACATAGTAGTTTAAAGAACTCTGAACAGTGTCTCACCAACCTAAAATCGAGGTGTTGATGGGGCTGGCTCCTTCTGGAGGCTCCAGCGAGGATCTGTTCCGCACGTTTCCCACTTTTTTAAATTTATTATATTGCATTTTAGGTTTTGGGGTACATGCGAAGAACATGCAAAATTGTTGCATAGGTACACACGTGGCAGTGTGATTTGCTGCATTCCTCCCCATCACCTACATCTGGCATCTCTCCCCTTGCTATCTCTCCCCAGATCCCCACCCCCCACCCCCCACCATCCCTCCCCTATTTCCCCCCAACTGACCCCAGTGTGTAGTGCTCCCCTCCCTGTGTCCATGTGTTCTCACTGTTCAACACCCTCCTATGAGTGAGAACATGTGGT